AGGAGTAGATTTCTCTGATTCAAACAAAAATAATGAATAGATAATTGCAGATAAACGAATTCAGTTAATAATAGTGAAATGAAAATTTATTCCAATCTAATTTGTCTCAAGCAATACGGCGACAATAAAAAATCGCTTGAAATATGTGAAGTATAATCAATATAGAAACCAAAATCAAAATAAGCATAACATTGAAATTATTTCGAAAAATTTTAAAAAATAAATAGAAACAATAAACATGAGATTAGACAGTTTTGATTCATAGAGTTATTTACAAATTATAGAAGGAATATTAAAAAAAACTTAAATGTTACGAAGGAATTCAGAAATGATTTGAATAGTTTTTACTTACTGAACTTTTAAATTTATAAACTTGTCTTACTGCTAACTATAATTTTATTGTTGGCACTTTGAACTATGATGTCTTATCGATTTTGTAAAATTTATCGTTGTAGTATAAATTGTGCAACTTATCAAAAAAATAATACTATAAAATTATCCACTGATATTAATGTTTTAAAAATGTGACTTCAAAAATGCTTATCTAGGTGGTACAAAAAATTTTATTAAAATTCAGGTCTACAGCTAACACCATTATACGCATTAACCTTACCAATTGCTATAGTATGGACAGAAAAACATGTCAGGAAAACTGCCCAGGAAAATTGCCGGAAAGCTATAGAATTAAAGGGCAATGAAGCAGCTAATCATTACTTTGTATGTATTTTAATGCTTTTTTGTCTCTTAATTCTTAGAAAGAATTGTTAAGTATACGAATTATTAAAGGAAGGTAATTAATATATTAGCTTGTTTACAAACAAACGTTGCTTAAATATATTAGCAATGAATTTCGAAAATTTGATTTGCATTTTTTCAGACAATTTTCGAAAGACCTGCAGGAAAGAATGCTTAAAGATTGAAAAGAATGTCTTAACAATGTGTCAGCAATGAAAGCATAAAGACGATGAAAATTATAAGTTGAATAGATTTGAGAAGAACACAAAAAAAAAAAAAAAAAAAAAAAAAAACAAATTTTAAAAGAAATTAAAGATCTCATCTCTCATCAAATCTAATTGGTAATATATATTTTCTTTAATTTAATACCATTCTCATTAAAACTATTTTTGGTGTAAAATTCTTTATGTTCGTAATATTTATATTCTTAATATAAAAAGAAAAAGAAAAATGGTTGTCGTGGAAATATTGTTACTATTACCCTCTTTTTTTTTTCAAACAAAAAATTTATCATAATTATAAGTTCAATCCTTGTAAAACATTCCTTTGTTTGAATAAATTCATTTGCCCATCGAACAATTTAACTTTACTCCAATAGTTCTCAAAATTGCAACAAAATTGTTCAAAAAAAAAAAAATCGACTGCATAATAAAATAGTGATTTTACTACAAAAGTTATCGTCAAATTGTCATAAGAATAAAAGTATAAATGAGTTACGTTCTGGCATATTTATTTGGTTATAGGCGACAAACTCACCCTTATTTGCATATTAATTTAAAAATAAATTACAAAGAAATAAGATGACAAATATCAGTTTACAGACATTTTATCAATAAAATGATAAACAATGATAAGTTTATTTTTGCTGCCTGCTGCAACTCATTTATCAATTTTAAAATTAAAATCCTTAGATATAAGGGAAGGAAAAAGTGAAACCAATCAATGCAGTCATATTCCGCGCTGCGCATTTTGCCGATCTCTACTGTCAGAGACTGTCTTTGATCACTAAAAACTCTAATAGACTATTTTATTTGCGCACATGCGCAGTTGTTAAGAAAGGAAGAGTATGTGATTGATTGCCTTTTGACTATCTCAAATTTTATTTTAAGCCATTTAAAAGATGATTGTATGCTTATCCCATGGCTTAATTATTTAATGAGTTTGTAATTGTCACATTTTATCTGTGTTAACTAATTCCACTTATTTCACGTCTTTCTGTAATCAGTAATTTGTAGTCTATTGTGAGTGTAAAATCGAAACGTTGTAAAATATGCGTAATTTAAAATCAAAAATCTAATTGAACAAAAATTCATCCTAGAAAGATCTATTGATGATAAGTAGAAATTAGCACAGAACTATCTAGGGAATGTCATGTCAATTGGCACTGTCTCATTTCTCTCCTCATATTTCACTTTTGTTTACTAAAAGTAGAGAGAAATTAAACAGTGTTTAAGGTAAATCCTACATTCTACGTATATTTTCACGCTCTTCTCTTAATCCAAACAGCAAAATCCTCTGTCAATAGTCTAGTTTCTCTCTCAAACTTTACATTCAGAAAATTTCGATAAATTAATTACTTTACAAATGTCATTCATATATTACTTTTTTAATTCACACAGTTGATAATATCAACTGGTGTAAAAGTACAATTTTATCCAGTTTGTTTTCATTTTTATTCTCTTTTGCTTTAAATTATTAAAGCAATTAAAACGACATATTTGTAGTGGAAAATGCTTTAACAATATTTTCGAATTAAATGTATTGAAGAATGAGAAGTAACAAAATTAGAAAGTGCATTACTGTTTTTTTTTTTTTTTTCTTTTGCTTTTTTTTTTATTTACTGCTGCTTTTTTATTTACTGCTGCTTTTTTTATTTACTGCTTTATTTTATTTACTACTAATTGCAAAAACTAAAAGCATTTTTAACGCAAGTATTAATGAGCAAAATTCATATCTGAAAAATAATAAACTGTGAATAATTAAATAATATCACTTATCATTTGATCAGCATTTCAAAATGATAATTTCATAAGATTTATTGTTAGTAAAACTTTTCATAAGATTTATTGTTAGTAGCAAAATAATATCACTTATCATTTGATCAGCTTGTCACTTATCATTTGATCAGCATTTCAAAATTATAACTTCATAAGATTTATTGTTAGTAGCAAAATAATATCACTTATCATTTGATCAGCATTTCAAAATGATAATTTCATAAGATTTATTGTTAGTAGCAAAATAATATCACTTATCATTTGATCAGCTTGTCACTTATCATTTGATCAGCATTTCAAAATGATAATTTCATAAGATTTATTGTTAGTAGCAAAATAATATCACTTATCATTTGATCAGCTTGTCACTTATCATTTGATCAGCATTTCAAAATGATAATTTCATAAGATTTATTGTTAGTAGCAAAATAATATCACTTATCATTTGATCAGCTTGTCACTTATCATTTGATCAGCATTTCAAAATGATAATTTCATAAGATTTATTGTTAGTAGCAAAATAATATCACTTATCATTTGATCAGCTTGTCACTTATCATTTGATCAGCATTTCAAAATTATAACTTCATAAGATTTATTGTTAGTAGCAAAATAATATCACTTATCATTTGATCAGCTTGTCACTTATCATTTGATCAGCATTTCAAAATGATAATTTCATAAGATTTATTGTTAGTAGCAAAATAATATCACTTATCATTTGATCAGCTTGTCACTTATCATTTGATCAGCATTTCAAAATGATAATTTCATAAGATTTATTGTTAGTAGCAAAATAATATCACTTATCATTTGATCAGCTTGTCACTTATCATTTGATCAGCATTTCAAAATGATAATTTCATAAGATTTATTGTTAGTAGCAAAATAATATCACTTATCATTTGATCAGCTTGTCACTTATCATTTGATCAGCATTTCAAAATGATAATTTCATAAGATTTATTGTTAGTAGCAAAATAATATCACTTATCATTTGATCAGCTTGTCACTTATCATTTGATCAGCATTTCAAAATGATAATTTCATAAGATTTATTGTTAGTAGCAAAATAATATCACTTATCATTTGATCAGCTTGTCACTTATCATTTGATCAGCATTTCAAAATGATAATTTCATAAGATTTATTGTTAGTAGCAAAATAATATCACTTATCATTTGATCAGCTTGTCACTTATCATTTGATCAGCATTTCAAAATGATAATTTCATAAGATTTATTGTTAGTAGCAAAATAATATCACTTATCATTTGATCAGCTTGTCACTTATCATTTGATCAGCATTTCAAAATTATAACTTCATAAGATTTATTGTTAGTAGCAAAATAATATCACTTATCATTTGATCAGCTTGTCACTTATCATTTGATCAGCATTTCAAAATGATAATTTCATAAGATTTATTGTTAGTAGCAAAATAATATCACTTATCATTTGATCAGCTTGTCACTTATCATTTGATCAGCATTTCAAAATTATAACTTCATAAGATTTATTGTTAGTAGCAAAATAATATCACTTATCATTTGATCAGCTTGTCACTTATCATTTGATCAGCATTTCAAAATGATAATTTCATAAGATTTATTGTTAGTAGCAAAATAATATCACTTATCATTTGATCAGCTTGTCACTTATCATTTGATCAGCATTTCAAAATTATAACTTCATAAGATTTATTGTTAGTAGCAAAATAATATCACTTATCATTTGATCAGCATTTCAAAATGATAATTTCATAAGATTTATTGTTAGTAGCAAAATAATATCACTTATCATTTGATCAGCTTGTCACTTATCATTTGATCAGCATTTCAAAATTATAACTTCATAAGATTTATTGTTAGTAGCAAAATAATATCACTTATCATTTGATCAGCATTTCAAAATGATAATTTCATAAGATTTATTGTTAGTAAAACTTTTCATAAGATTTATTGTTAGTAGCAAAATAATATCACTTATCATTTGATCAGCTTGTCACTTATCATTTGATCAGCATTTCAAAATTATAACTTCATAAGATTTATTGTTAGTAGCAAAATAATATCACTTATCATTTGATCAGCTTGTCACTTATCATTTGATCAGCATTTCAAAATGATAATTTCATAAGATTTATTGTTAGTAGCAAAATAATATCACTTATCATTTGATCAGCTTGTCACTTATCATTTGATCAGCATTTCAAAATGATAATTTCATAAGATTTATTGTTAGTAGCAAAATAATATCACTTATCATTTGATCAGCTTGTCACTTATCATTTGATCAGCATTTCAAAATTATAACTTCATAAGATTTATTGTTAGTAGCAAAATAATATCACTTATCATTTGATCAGCTTGTCACTTATCATTTGATCAGCATTTCAAAATTATAACTTCATAAGATTTATTGTTAGTAGCAAAATAATATCACTTATCATTTGATCAGCTTGTCACTTATCATTTGATCAGCATTTCAAAATGATAATTTCTTAAGATTATTGTTAGTAAAAAACAATAAATTAGTAAAACTATGTTACCAGCATGACGAAAGATCATGTTTGATGATGAGAAAAAGATCAAATATGTCCAAAAAAAAAAAAATTTTGTGATATTAATGAATTTTAATTTTATGAGTTTATTACCACTCCAAAAATACGTACTTCTTTAATTCCATTGCTTAAATAAGAAAAAAAGTGATCAATTGGGAAATTTAAACAATTTTCAACACATCAAATTTTACACTAATCTATTTTCTTACTAAAGCCAATTTTGAGGTAACGCACTATTCAAGATGTTGTTGCTAAGATACTATGATGCATATTTCAAGAATCTAAAAAAAAATTTCATACATGAAATCTCACATCCTGCTCAGTCAACTCTATAAGAAATTTTTTTTTTTAATTGATACAACTGGAAAATTCGATTATAGTTGTTATTCTGTGCAAAATTTCAGGATCTGAAAATTTGGTAAGTGAAAAAAATAAAGGAAATATTTCATAAATAAATTAGTTTTTCGAAAATGTGATCATTTGTGTATCATCATAAAATCAAATTTCTATAAAAAATAGTGACTACTTCAGGAAATCTTTTTTTTCGTTCAATTTCATTTGGATGTATTATAACGATGTAGCAGTAAAACCACAATTTTTCCCGACAAAAAATTATATAATATTAAACAGATTCGATATGAAAATGGAAGAAACTATGTAGCAAAGGAAAAAATAAAAAGAAAATGAAACAAAGATTGCTAAGAATAAAACATGGAATTGTTGAATCAAAATTATGCTAAAGTGAATAATGCAAATATATCATTTTGAATAAATAACAGAGAAACTGCTTCATGCACTTTTAAATGAAGTGATGTGCGACATGCAAAAGTGACATAAAATATAATCTAATTCAAAACATCCTTGTTTCCTAAAAAGACAAAAGAAGATCTGATCAAAAATCAAAAGGAAGACAGAACGATAAATTAAGTACCAAAGTAATATTCTCATTAATATTTTCACGATGAAACTATCTAGCAATTAGATATACCGCACTTTTAGCATAAGAAGGCTATATCAGCAAAAATTATCAGAAAATAAACTGTAAAATAAATTCGACCATTTTTAATTTTCAGAAATCTTGAATTAGTACCTGTGTGCATATAAAATAGTATCTGTATGCCTACGAATGCTTATAAATACAAACAAAATGGCACTGCCAATATATGAAAAAATAGGAAGAGATATGTCTAACGAGCACTACATTCGGAATAAATTCATATAAACATGGAAGCAAAGTAGCTGACAAAAAAAAAAAAATTAATATAAAAAAAAAAATCAAAATGCATAAATTAGCACTTACAATACTTTCCACACAAAAAAAGAAAAAACTTCTACCAATAAGAGCAATGATAGCAAAATTTTTATAATATAAAGCAGTAAACAGCAAACTTACCCTAATGAAAAAAATAATTGTGAAAAGAAATTTATGATCTGCTTTGCTAGTTTATTTTAAATCCTCGAAAAAAAAAACAATTATAAGTCATCGTCTGTAATCTCAAATCCTTCACTCTTGAACAGCAATGTCTTCTGAAACAAATTCATAGACTTAATGATATATGAATACTAATCTTAATTCTGTCCTCCCCCTCAAATTCACTTTAGCCTTTTACAAAAGCCCATATTAACATTCTAACTGTGATATGGCAATAACATCATCTGAGTAGGGCTATTCGAAGAAATTTTTTATATTTCTTGAAATTTCAAACAAGTCTTTAACACACTATCACTGAACAAATGGATTAAAGAACAGAATAAAAAAAGAATAAAATATCTTAAAATAAAAAATATACCGAAATTGTGGTGAAAGCATCCAGTACAGATTCATCTAAATCACTGGCAATTGATCCTGAATGCTTTATATCAGTGATACTATTAGAATGATGATTCGAATGAATGCTACCATTGTCGGATCGGCCATTTGTTAATGAGTCATCATGATTTTCAATGATTTTGGTTCTTTCGACCTCTTTTGGCTGCACTGAAATCCTCTGTACTTCATTCTCCATTGGTGTTGAATACTGAACAGCTCTCGAAATAACGGGAGAACCCATTGAATCTTCTTCTTGCGAAGAATAAATTTTGAACACATCTTTCGTTGGATAATCATAGTCAACGCTACCAAACTAAATACAGGAAAATAGATGATTGCACATCAACAATAGCATTAACAAATAACAAAATTATTGAGTGCTATGACTATTAAAATTATGGCATGTAACATAACGCTATTTTACTGCTAATTCAGAATAAAAGTAAAAAATTTAAAAAAAAAAAAATTAAAAAAAAGTTTTTTTTTAAACTACGAAATTTCACAAAATAAAAAGTAAAAAAAAAAAAAAAAACACTATGTATCTGCATTAAAATTATTATTTATGTAAAAAAAGTTGGTGTAACTACGATAAAACAATCGTTAAAAAAATCCAACAGAATGGGATAAGTTAAAGTAAATTAAATATGAAGTGAAAGAAATAATTTACTGTAGTCATTAAAGAGCGATGTTCCTTGAGAATTTCAAAACCAATCGATTGAAGCAATAAAGAAAGCAAAATGGCCTGAAATCAAAGTTTATCAATAAAATTGTAGCTCGATCTGTAAATGAAACATAAAAATGACGATTCTAGCAGCAGCAGTTTATATTCAATTGAAAAACGACATTTAACAGCAAAAACTTTTGGAAAAAAATGACACTGAGGTAGTAATTACATTTTTCTCCTAACGTACTCAAGCAAACTGCTGTAGGCCAGAGAAATTGTTAACCAAAAAAACTGGAATTTTTTTGTGCTAGTTACAAATGAAGTAGGATGAGTGAAACGAAACCTGATTGGTATACAGAGTAATCCAGTGAAATACCCCTTTCGATATTAGATATTCGAACAAAAAAGTAAAACCGCTATTATCTTGCTCAGAAATTCGCCATACACGAATTCTTGTTGCTCGAAACTCAGCACTTGAAATCTAAACAAAGAAGCTAAAACATTGATGCTACAATATTTACTTCATATTCCTTTAAAATTAAAATTCATATTGATTTGTACCAGTTTCACTCCACACAAATACGATCTACAAGAGTACAGTTCATCGTTCCGGGAGTAGTACAAAAATTCTTTTCAATGCAACCGAAATATCAAATAAGGAATATAGCGACAACATCACTAGTGAAACTTTAATGAGAACAGAATAAGGAATTGTTGGAACATTAAAGAAGAAGCTAAGGACACATTACTAAATGTTTGGAAATATAACATCAAACAATACTTACACCATCCTTAGCACCTTCACCTTTGAATTCCAAAAGAATACGACGTCGGCCAATTTTCAAATTGCATTCCGTTCCTGGTCGTGGATAGTTACTTGAGCAAGGCTCCAAAACTTCATAACTGTAGTTTGGCTCCAAATGACACAAACGAAGAAACTGAAAAATAAAAGAACTAATAGATTGATCAGTTCGAAAACAATTGACCGATTATCATTCAAACTTGAAATTTTAGAAAAAGTTTACATGTACTTGAAATGAGTATAAAAAAATTCGAAATTCTTCCACAACTCATAGTGATTATATCGGATTCACAGCAACCAAAATCAAAAGATCCAATGTTTGCTCATAAATTATTGTTAGTTAAGAGTGCTTTCTAAAAACTAATAATCATCTGAAGAAAACAAAAATTTATTCACCTGCGTACAATTGCCTTGCTCTTCCAAAGCTAACAAACGATTTTTGATTTCTGTTTGACGGGGTACAAAATGACCATTATACAAATCACTTGCGGCCTAAATATTTTCCAGGTTTCATTCTTTTTGCTCTAAAACAGAAATAGCTCAAAAGTATAGTATTAATTTGCAAATTTTTTTTCTTCTCAGAAATTTATCTAGAAAAAAAACCTGCTCATACTTCTACAATATAAAAATTACAGTTCAACAATTGTACCTGCTTGTATAGCAATAAAACAGCTCCCGGATCATCCATGAGCTCTTCCTCAACTTTCGGATCCCAGATTAACTTCCTAATAATAATAAAATAAAACACTCCTGTTGCTGCCGATTTCTGATTCAACATATGAATTGATAAATACGGTGACTCGAAATTTCGCAACAGTCGAACAGCTAAATAAAAATTTTGAAAAAAATTGTTCGTGCTCGAAATTTTGAAATTCACAAAAGATTATTATAATTACTCAACATTAATTCAACATTTGAATGTTTCTTCTAAATGTCTGGTGTTTATACAATGCACTAACCTATTTGATTCTAATTGTGTCTTACAAATTTCACTAAGGGTTTTCTAACTGCCATTATTACTGTAAAATACGTTTCACGGTGTTAAAATATGAAGTGATTTATACTTAGCAAACAGTCACATTACACGAATATCAAAAAAAAAAAAAATCTGGGAAATGGCAAGGTTAGGATTAAACAGGGAAGTCTAATGAAACAGAAAGTTTAAATGGGATCTTAAAAATATCTCTGTAGTCTCAAAACTGATCAATATCATCAAAATATTGGCAACAATTAACTCATTATTTCCTTAAATTTATCTAAGCACTTTACTACTAGTATATGAATAACAAACAAAGTGTATCTGGATATTTCACTGAACCAAGAGAAGACATAAAGTGACCATCATCACTAGCATACCGTCGTTTAGCCACAAATAAACCAAAACTTCCAATGTTTTCAATACTCAAACCAATAATGTCAGCAAATCGCTAAAAATGGTTTCATTGTCTTCAACAACAAAAAAAAAAAAAAAAAAAAAAAAAAGAAAGAATGATTGATGTTAACTTAGGGTATATTTTTATAAAGAAATCAAAAAAAAAACCTTTAAAATAATTTCGGTGGGATGTTCAACGTTGCAACGGACAGTTTCCTTGGTACCATCTGCCATGAAAATATCAACCGAAACATTACTAGATGATGGTCGAAATGATTCCTAAAGAAAAAGAAAGAATTTTTTTATGCAATCATTTAGGTGAAAGAAATGACTGAAAAATAACGCAAAATCTACTTACGATTTGAAAATTAAGAAAAGCATTTTCAGTTATGAAGTGTTGAGCGATTGACTGAAGTTGAACCACTGAAAATACAACCATAACAAGATAAAATAAACAAATACGGATCAATTATGAAAGTCAATAAGACGATTAGTACCAAAATAAAGTATAAATATATATATATATATATATATATATATATATATATATATATATATAACAATAATTGAATTACTCTTAAAAATATAGATGAACAAACAAAAATTTTTGACTCTCAGAGAAAGTAGCTTTAAAGCTTGTCAATTCTTGGCGACATTACAATACCAAACTTTTGTCTTTGAAATTGAAACAGTACTCTGTTCTAAAACAGCTATACAAATATGTTCATTTTTTCTTTTTTTTCAAAAAAAAAAAAAAACAGTAAAAAAAAAGACTAACTCGTTTGAAAATAACGTGCTAGTGCTAGTCTTCGTTCATCCAATGCTTTTTGATCTAATGTTCGGAACAACTTTTTTGATGGAAAATCGGATGTTTTCAATTTCGGTCCGAAATGATTACGTAATTTCTCATGAAGTTTCAATAAATGAGAATATCGTATGCTTGCATGATAAGCACCATTAATGTATATATCAAATGCCTGAAAAAAATGTTATACCATTAATCTTAACATTTATTAGTTATCATCCATCAATAAAAATCAATAATTACTAATTAATCTATTTAATATTATGATAATAATGATCAATAAATACTAATTAATCTATTTAATACTATGATAATAATGATTAGTAATTACTAATTAATCTATTTAATACTATGACAATAATGATCAATAATTACTAATTAATCTATTTAATACTATGATAATAATGATCAATAATTACTAATTAATCTATTTAATATTATGATAATAATAATGATCTTTTGATATCAACTATGTCAAAAACTATCAAAGTAACTAAAAAGCGAAAAAGAAAAAAAAAAAAAAAAAACAGTCCATAGAAGATAAAAATAATTTTTATTAATGGAAAAAATTGATATATCAAAAGAAGCATTAAGTATTGAATAAAAGTATTTTAGAGTAGTTAAGAGTACTCAAAAATTCCAATAATAATAATAATTAATAAAAAAAAAAAAAAAAACAATTAATTGATATTTAATCTATATAAATAGAAAAAAATAAACAACTTACATCATATGTACGACTTCCATCCATTTCAACTAACGTTTGCGTTGTTGGAATCGAAATATGAATCATTTCTGAAATAAAAAAGTTATAATTAAATAAAATGCTAAAATGACAAAAAGAAAACTATTATTCTTAAAGTTACATCCATTATATATTTAAGTAAATAAATATACGTATATAAGTGATCACGCACATATGTATTTAATGAATTTATATCATTCTAACTTAACAAGGATCACTATCTCACGTCCGCTTACGCCGTCAATCACGCACATATGTATTTAATGAATTTATATCATTCTAACTTAACAAGGATCACTATCTCACGTCCGCTTATGCCGTCAATCACGCACATATGTATTTAATGAATTTATATCATTCTAACTTAACAAGGATCACTATCTCACGTCCGCTTACGCCGTCAATCACGCACATATGTATTTAATGAATTTATATCATTCTAACTTAACAAGGATCACTATCTCACGTCCGCTTACGCCGTCAATCACGCACATATGTATTTAATGAATTTATATCATTCTAACTTAACAAGGATCACTATCTCACGTCCGCTTACGCCGTCAATCACGCACATATGTATTTAATGAATTTATATCATTCTAACTTAACAAGGATCACTATCTCACGTCCGCTTACGGCGTCAATCACGCTTTCCAATTTATGTAATCATAGATAGGGATAATAATTTTCATAAAATTCAAAAGAATGCAATTCGCAAATGGTACGTGAACCCGTGAAACGGTGGTTATGGACGTAGCTAATAAATCAGATTTGAAATTTTGAATTAGATTATGATGGAGCGGAAAAATGGAATAAATTGAGAGTTAAAAGTGGTAATTAAATGAGTTAGATGATTCTTTGGGATAAAAATAATAACGATTAATTGATAATTCATTTAATAGATTAAGATAGATAATTAAAATTTAAATAGAAATAACTGAGAAATTTGATGGAAACTATTCCTTTGATATTTCACGTATATTTGATTTGATATCATTAATATTACTCTCTTAGTAATCTTTATCTTTCTTTTTGTTGTAATCTTCTCTCTCTCTCTCTCTCTCTCTTACGTTATTATTTATTTTATTTTTATTTTTTTATTTTTTTTGCATATTTACGGAATTTAAAAAGTTTAATTTGAATACTTTAAACTGTTGCAATATTATATTCTTAATCTTTACTATAAGTCATAGGAAGTTGACAATATTAATTTTACTATAAACTATCACCGATTTTTTCTTTTTTTCTTTTATAAATTAATAATAAAGAAAACCAGTGCAAAATGAGAATAGATGAAATGACAATTTTGGAAAATTTAATGTTGCTTAGTTGAAATTTGAGTTAATAATTTAATGACAAAGGGAATGTTTAGATGACAGTAAAAATTTCAGATAAAAATTACATTCGAGGTGATATGAGAAAACTTTTCAATAAAAGCACACTTTAAATTAAGAATAGTATTTTCAGAATGATTAATAATTAATAAGAAACTGTAGAATTAAGTATTTTCAGAGTGATTAATAATTAATAAGAAACTGTAGAATTAAGTATTTTCAGAGTGATTAATAATTAATAAGAAACTGTAGAATTAAGTATTTTCAGAGTGATTAATAATTAATAAGAAACTGTAGAATTAAGTATTTTCAGAGTGATTAATAATTAATAAGAAACTGTAGAATTAAGTATTTTCAGAGTGATTAATAATTAATAAGAAACTGTAGAATTAAGTATTTTCAGAGTGATTAATAATTAATAAGAAACTGTAGAATTAAGTATTTTCAGAGTGATTAATAATTAATAAGAAACTGTAGAATTAAGTATTTTCAGAGTGATTAATAATTAATAAGAAACTGTAGTTAGTGTATTTATAATTAAATTAAATATTTATAATTAAAATGGAATAAATTATTGTATTATGATATAGAACATATATAGGCTAAGTAAGAAAATAAGCGTATTAGTTATATGTAGAAATAATGGAATTAATAAACTTATGAGAAATGAAATGTGTAATAGAGTTATGCATCGTATAAATTGTATAAATATACCGATGAATTGTTGTAATTGTTAATTAATGAATTATTGATTAAAATTGATTAAAATATTTTGATAGTTTGCGAAGAAAGCGAATAATCATGAAAAATATTTTAAGGATTTATGTTTTATTATATCATCAAAAAGTTTATGTGTTTCGGATTGCAATGAATGCAAATGATCAGCAGAAAACTATGGCAATTGCTGAATATTTTCCTGATGGATCGATTACACGAATCATTTTCAGCAATTTTTTGTAAGTTTTAAACTATCATGATGTGAAACATTTAAGAAATTAATCAAGAAAGGAAATAAGTGTAGTTGAAGAGGTGAAAAGTAAAAAAGAAAAATGATGAAGTAAAATATCTCATTATATCATCATACTACTCTGATTCTAACTTTGAAATTTTCCTGTTAAAAATTTTGAATTCCATAAATAAGGATGTCTTATAGTGGAATTAATTTGATCTTCATTCTGTTGTTTCATTTTCATGATATGTTTATTGAGCATGTAACAAGTTATAATTACTGTTAACTTTAATTTTTTGCTAGATTTTGACCTTTTTTTTTTTTTTTTTTCTGTTTTATAAAAATTAGTGAGAACTGCGATGAGGTTTGTAAAATTCCTAAATAATTATTATTCATTTATTAATTTCAGGACTTACGAATATGTGGAAATGTTTCCTGGTCCAAATTTGAATGTTATTATTGGACCAAATGGAACAGGTTTGTGTATATCACTATTGCTGCTTAATTTAATAAAGTATTGTAATCATTAGTCGAATCAGTAATTATAATTTTTGGTTGAGAACTAAACTGCTAAACATAAGGTAATGTCTAGGCTGATGTAATCTCCCTTATTTTGATATAATGCTTTATTTTATTCTTATTTTTAAAGGAAAGAGCACAATTATGTGTGGTTTATGTTTGGCAGTTGGTGGTACTCCGAAATTATTGGGGCGTTCCGAATTGTTAGCTGATTATATCAAACATGGTTCGAAGAAAGGATCTGTGGAAGTTTTCATGTAAGTACTTTTTGTCATAAAGTAATTCGACAAGTATCCTGTAAGGGTAGTTGGGATTTGTTGATTTTTTTAACAAATATATTTAAAAGTGTATTCGGACATAAAGCAGTTCATTTTTTTTTTTTTTTTTTTTTTATAAAAAGATTGTCCTAAGTTTGGTATTAACATAAATTTCAGACGTGATTCAAAACTTGGAAAGGATCGAGCACTATCGATTGTTTTGCATCGAATTGGTGGTTCTAATTATTTTGTTGATGGTGAGAAAGTAACACAGACAAAATTGCGTAACATTGCTGAAAGCTACAATATCCAGGTGAAATATTGATTGATTTTCATAGGGTCTACGTACTCATGTTGTTTCTTCAAAAAATTTTCCTTGCATTATTTATTTATTTATTTTTTTTCATCTCTCCTCATTTAAAAATCTTCGAGATAGTTCTAGCAGAATAGCGGATGCAAAGTTGAATAAATGCATAAAAAAGTGCAATAAGTTAGAGTGTAACAATAGATGAATTATGATGACTTGTCAAGAAAAAATATAATTGAGGTAGATATATTTTAATAATAATAATAATAATAACGTATCACTGAAATGAATGAATTAATAATAACGTATCACTGAAATGAATGAATCTAATGCGAACAGTGAATTATATTTGGGTAGAATAACGTTTTTTTTTTTTTTTTTTGACCGAATATTTTAGTTTCTAAGTTAAGTTATAATCTTAAGCATTTTGTTTGTAGTGGTTTTTTATTAGGAATAAGAATGAAAAAATTTTATGAAAAGTTAATAAACAAGAGGAATGAATTTGAGACGTAATGTTTTTTCATTCACTATATCAATTATGATTTAAAATTAGGATATTTTAGTTGCCAATTTCAGATTGATAATCCATGTACATTCCTAGCACAAGATAAAGTGAAAAGTTTCGCGGAACAAAAATCATTTGGTCTTCTTGCAAATACGGAAAAAGTTAGATTAAAATTTTTCTTATAATTTTTTCTTCAATATTTTTATGATTTATAAGGTATGAATTATTTAATCTGACATTATATTCAGGCTGTTGGGAAGGAATTGGTCGATTTACATGAAAACATTCACAATATACGACTTAATCAGTCACCTATTTTACGTACTAAATGGTATGTTTTATTATTTCTCTTCTTTTTTTATTTTTATTACTTTTATAAATATCTTTTGGATCTTTTGTCTTATCATAAATATCTTTTGGTTTTGAAGCTTAGAAGATCAGTTAAACTCCGTGCAAAGTGAATTGAAAACATTAATTCCTCTAACTGAAAATTACCGCCGACGTGAAACAATGCGAGAACATATTCGACTTCTCGAATGCAAAAAGCTTTATTTGGTTTGCTAATATTTTGTTGTTCCTTTTTTTTTTTTTTTCATTTTTATTTTGAAACTTTACGTTAGATCACTGATGTACTGACTTTTCCATTGGTTCTCAGGGAAAACTTATCTCTTCATTTTAGTGCTGTAAGTAATCTTTCCTTTTCATTTATACCTGGAACGAAGTATTACTTTAATTTGCTAATATCGAGATAGTATTTACACATTATTTGCAGAAGTATTTGGAGGCAGAGGCAATTGCTGAAGAAAAAGCTCAATATAAACGACTAAAAGAAGAAGAACTTGAAGAGGTAAACTATCATCGTCTAAAATTTGGAACTTTTTGAATCTTCAATTTTGAAGCACGTGTTTAATCTGTCATTTAATTATTTTCTTCCATTACTTTTATTGTATTTTGCATTTATTTATCTTTTTCCATTACTAAGAATTCTGTTTGTTCCTGATTATTTTCAATCCATAAGTTCTTATATAGTCCATAATCAAGGAAAACGGAATTGATTAATTAGTTGCTGTCTACAGTTAAGATAGGCTATTTATTACTTATATCTTCTTACAAGAAATATTGTATTTCCTCTAAATTTATGACAGGTGAAGAAATCAATGTTACCTATTACAAATCGCTTGAAACAGCAAAACGTTGTCAATGAAGAATACAAACATAAACAAAAAAATGCCGTTAGTTCTTTTTTTTAGAAGATTTTTTTCTTGAATTTTCTTATAAAAGATTTCACTTTTCGAAAAAAAAAAAAATGAAATAAAATGGTTGTCTGCAAAATTTTATGTTGTTTATATATTATTTTATAATATTTATATATGTTATTTATATTTTATATCAAATTTATATATTATTTTATATATATTAAGTAGCAAAATTTATACATTATCCATCGTTATCCGCTTATATTATTCGCTTTTATTAATTTTTCAGAAACAAACTTTTCCTCATTTTTACCTCCTACCTATTTTCTCAGTAATATTGAAGTTCAGTAAAAAAAAAAAAATTTAAGTAAGTAAATGATCTTTTATTCCAGATTGATCAATTGTTATCATTACGGAGAGAAACAGAAAAACTTCTTGCGATTGAATCAGTAGATGAAATGGTAAATAATTTGAATTTTCTTCATTAATAAATAAAAATTCTTTGAAAGTTCATTCAGAAAATTTCTTTTTTAGCTTACTCTACTCTTTCAACTTGCTATTAAAAACATGCATTGAGGTTGTCTTATTATGATTTTTTTGAATATAAAATAACAACAAATACAGTGTAATATTTTTTTTTTTTTTTTTTTCTTTCAATGATCAAATAAAATGGTTTAGTGGTTTAAATCGTAAGTTTAAAAGTGATAAGTGGTTTAGTGATTTAAAAGTGATAAATTACAGATATTGAGTGCAAAAAAAGATTATGAACGAGCTAAGAAAGAGCATAGTGAATGGGAAGAAAGATTAAATGCCGCACGAACGGAACGTAATCTTTTGGAAGAGAAACTTGCTGCTGCGGATCAAGAATTTACGTCCATGGAGGTATTCTATGATGTATTAAATTTATAGATGAAACAAAAGTTAGATTTTTTGGTTAAAACTAAGGCATTGTATCAGTCTATAATCCAGTTTTTATGTTTATAAAGTAAGACAAATGATATAATTTAGATAATCAACATATAAGATTAATAAAGATGTAAGTACCAAATAATCTACACTTTTAGTTTTGGAAATCGTATCGTAATGTTTTTTGAAGTGCTTTATCTGCGATTCATTTATCCAAAGACAATGTTTTCATGGATTTGGTTTCTTTGAAAATCTTATTCTTAATTTTCTGTTTTCTGAAACAAGAGAAAACTTAAGTGTTTTAAGCAGTAGTTTTTTTTTTTTTTTTTTCAGAATGAGAATTCGGCAGTCAAGCGAGAATATTTGGAGTGGAATAGAAAAGAGGAAGAATTGGACAGGCAAAAATCAGTATTAAATAATAAAATTGCTGAAATTGATTCCAGCATACGAGGTTTTTTTTTTTTTTTTTTAACGAAAATTTGACAAAATTTTAGAATGGAATGGATTTCTTAAAGTGTGCATACTTATGACATCATTCTTTCAGTATTTTGGTGTTTTATTTATAGCTGTTACGGAATCGATCGATGCTGAGCAGCAGCCATTTCGGAAGAAATTTATTGTTTTGAGAGGTAATGGTAGAGAAATGAAATGTGCCGAAGCATGGCAGTGGTATGAATCGCAAAAAGAGAAGTTCCAACATCCAGTTTTTGTCCCTTTGTTATGTGTAAGTACGAAATGGATTTTTTAGAATGTGATTTATTTCTTAAAATCGATTAAATTTTCGACATATTTCATTAGAAATCTATATGTTGCGATGAAAATTTGAATTAATCAAAGTGATTTAATTTGATTTGAAGATGATTTAGACCGTATAACTGAAGATATACATATAGAATATAATTCCTTCTTCCTTCTAAGAGTTAAAATTAGTAAGTTACACATAGCTAGGATGGAAGAAACTAAAGAAAATTAATCATGATACTTTAGTCTTTCTTTTTATAATAAAATTATCTTCTGTACTGAGTAGATTCTTGTATCTCTCTATGAGAAATTTTTTTCTAATTTTTAGTTTTTGAAGTACTTCTCACTTCCAGATGTCTTTGGTAAGTGACGATGCCGCAGTTTATTTGGAAAATATCATTGCACGTCGTGATTTATTAATGTTCATATTTTGTTGCAAAGAAGATGAATTATTGTTAACAGATAAACGACATCCCTGGAAAATCAATTCTTGTATCATAAGCAATGATGAGGTTAAGTATTTCCTTTTATTTTTTTTTGCTCATCATAGTGTATTAGTTTGATTATGGTGGTATTTCTGATTTTTTAATTTCATTTTCCAGTACAGTCTTTTTTTTTTTTTTTCTCTTCTTTTGCTGCTAGTGGATTTGTTTAATTTTAGTTTATACTTATTTTTTTTTTTTTTGATCGAAGTTAAATCGTTAGAAATTAGAAAAAAAATTACAATTTTTTTCTCATCTTAATATTCTGTATATGAAAAATATCTTAAATATGTAATAAGAATTTTCTCATTAAATCATCATTTTAACTGAGAAAATTGAGATGATTTAACTAGATTGCAGATAGCACGCTTTAAAAAACAACAAAAAGCGATACCTGCACATTTATCTTCTCTGGGATTTACTTGTCTGGCATCAGATTTATACACTGCACCAGATCCCGTGAAAGCATATTTAAACAGTGTTGCATCGGTAATTATTAAACTTTCAGTCTAAGTAAAAAAAAAAAAAATTGGAAATGATAATGCTATAGCTTGAATTTTGTTTTAATTAGTTTTCGGTTAATACATTATTGCGTGGTTTCTTTATTTTCTGGTGTTCGCTCACAACTCAGGTAACATCTATTGTTATCAATGATTATTTTTTTTTTTTTACAAATTTTGTGTTTTTCTTTTTTTAGTTACATAAAATTCCTATTGGTACCCAAACAACAGAGAAATGCTTAGATAAAGTTTGCGAAACACTGAAAAATTCTCATCGTTTATTTTTGACAAATTCATTGCGGGTAATATTATATCATTGTTTTTCAATTTTAGATTATCATTAAAGTATTTAACGAGAATAATATGACTTATATTACGTGGCTTTTTTCAAAGCATACTGAGAGATATTATTTGTGCAGTAGGTTATAATAATCTTTATCATTAGATATCTCTTATTATCATTAGATATCTTTTATTTCTAAATTTTGTATGAAGTAGTAATTGATAATAAATAATCTTTCCAGGTACGTATCTCTGTATCTCGTTACAGCGGTAATTTATCGGTCCGAACAGAAGCATTGCGTACTTCTTTACGACTTCTTGTTGTTCATACTACTTTACCTGAAAGTAATGTGCAAAGTCTCAGTGAGCTTGAAAAACAATTAGCAGAGCTTAAAAAACTTGCAGAAGAGGTTACTCTTTAGCGCACTTTTATTTCCTTTATTCTCGATTTTAGTGATAATTTAATATCAATGTTTCCGAAAAAAAAAAAAAAAAAAAAATTGAAAAAACTAACTGTAGACATTTTCTAAAACTTTCTGTATTTTTTATTTAGATGCGATTAGCTCATGAGCATATTGGACAGACAGAAAAAACTATTGCACAGGGACGTGAAAAATGTCGTAAAAAAATGGTACGTATTTGTAAATCTATTTCTCGTTTTCCTAAGTGAATTGAAGATTCTTAATGTGTTAACATTTCGACTAAACTGATGATTCTTCATTTTATATCAATTAATTTAATCATTCGTTTTACAATTTATGTTTGAGGATGCATTTCTCAAAAAGAAGGATGCTCGAAATATAATTTCAAGTCAACTGCGTTCGAAAGCCGCAAGGTTAGTTGTATTATTTGATTTTGTGATAGAAGCTTATTTCTTCTTTAAAACACTTATTTAGTCAGTAATGATTTAATTTGAAGTACAAAATCTTATAAACAGATTTTATTTATTTATTTATTTTTTATGATTTGAATTCCTGGAACATTTTAATATTACGGATAAATAGGAGAGAAATAATGATTCATCATAGCTTATTTTGTAGAGTGCATGCCATTGAAACTGATAAACCTGATCTGACGGTTGCTGCACAAAAATTCCAGAAAGTCAAGGATGAAATTATTGCAGAATCATTTGAACGAGTTGAAAAAATTGCTAAGTTGATGGTATTCAAGTCAGCTTATTCACAACTTTATTAGTTAATTTTTTTTTTTTTGTTAATTTAGGACATCTTTCCGAAAATCTCAAACAAACAAATTTATATTTCTCACTAGAACAAGCAGTGTTTAAATGATAAATTTAGTCTTGTTTAGTTTTATTAAACTTAATATAATATTAAACTTTAGAAGAAAAAGAAATCACACATCCAGGATGCGTTATTTGCAACGTTAAATGCAAAAAAGGTATTGACTGAAATGGATACATTGAAAAAGCAATTAAATCAGTTCGACGAAGAATATGAGTCTAAATTGGTATTTTTATAAATTCTTAAATGTCAAATTTTGTTGTTTTGATGTTTCGAGTGATCGTTTAGAATTTTATCAACAAATCTTTCCTAAACTACTTTTAATCTTTTTCTAAATTTAAAGGATGCAATCAGACTTACTGAAATAGCTGTAAAAAAAGCAATGCAAAGAATAAATGAAGATAAGCAGCGATTGTATGAATCAATTGGTATTGAAGATTCGTCTACGAGTGAAGCAGCGAGTGAAGCATTGGAAATATTGAAAAAAGTTCGTTGGATAATTTCAATATTCTTTGCTGTTGAATAGAAAATTTGTTGTAGATATACTATACTATTGAAACCGTTTGATTGAATTTAGATTATTTTGAAAATTGTCAGCAAAAATTGTATAATATTATCAAACTTATGAATATATTGTGGATATCTTGTTCCTTATAGAATTTCATATTGAACAAGTAAGGCTTTAGGTAATTTTCCTTAGAATGATTTTTAATGGTTTAATGGTAACTTCAAATCTATTCTGTTGATTTTATTTCCTTGATTGTAAAATTTTAGAACTTTGATAGCTATAATATTCCGAACACTAAGGATGAAATAGAACTCCAAATTGCACATGAACAAGGAAAACTTGATGCACTATATAGTGAAGGAGAGAAAAAAGTTAGTTTCAGTGTTCAGTTTTTTGTACACATCGTAATCTTTCACTTTTTTTTTTTTTTTTTGTTGAACTGTTAAATTAATTTTATTTTAGATTAAAATGTTGTATTTTCATGAAAGGAGTTTTTTTTTTTTGCTTATTTTGTTATGTGGTATCACATTTCAGGATATTGAACGTTTTGAAAAATTAACGCTAGAAAAACAATCTCTCATTAAAGAAGTCACTGCTGTAAAGAAAGATGTATGTGATGATCAGCGTAGTTTTCTTTTCTTAATTATTCTTAATTAATTATTTTTATTCTTAATTATTCCATTTAATTGCGATGAGTATTTTACGAGATAAGCATTTTGGATAGAAATTTGTGTATCATAAATGTGGACAAGTAGATGATTGTATGAATGTGGCTTGTTACTATTTGTAAAAGTCTAAAGCACAAGAGAATGTGAAAGCGTTTTTATCCGTTGTTAGAAATCTTAATTTGATAGTAATATAATAATATGAAATTGCTTTAATTTTTTTTCTTGTATTCATTATTTTAAGGTCAGCGAGTGGGAAAATAAACTCGATCGTTTGCTAGAACAGTGGCTACATCAGTTGGAAAATGTCGTTGGAAAATTGAATCAATATTTTAGTTCTTTCTTTCAAAATATGGGATGTTCTGGAGAAGTTCATCTTCAGAAACCTGATGATAAGGTAATCAGTTTGAGTTCTTTGAGTTCTTTTTTTTTTGGTTATCAAAAGTTTTGCAGAGTATTTCTTCAATTTTTGCATGATTTATGAATAAATTTTCCGTTATATATGCAGTTGAAGGGGATTCTTTCATTTCCTATTCTATGTATTGTATCTTAAATGATAAGAAGAACAGGTCATCTTTTAGCTTTTGAATGAAAATAAAAATCACTGTTTGTTCGAATTATTTTTTCTCAATTTTTACTTGCAGTATGATATTTCAAAGTATGGCATCCTAATAACTGCCAAATTTCGTGAAGGTGAAAGATTTCGTGAGCTAACACATCAGGTGAGAGAGCTTGTGGATACTTCAAATTTTCAGTTCTCCAACTCTATTTATTTTTGTTTTGCTATTTCTTTGAAATCTTGTTTTATTAAACTTTCAAAATAATGAATAGCTTAACTATTTATACATTTATCATTCCTGAATAATTTTACGTTTACAGACACAATCAGGCGGTGAACGTAGTGTGATCACAATGTTATATATTTTAGCACTGCAAAAGCTAACAGTTGTACCATTTCGCTGTGTTGATGAAATCAATCAGGGTATTAAGTTTATTGATGATTTCTAATCGAAATCAAGTTTATATTAGCCGAAAAATTGATTATAAACTTAAATGAGACAGAATAATGTTTTATTAGATTTTTTCATAGTGATATTCTCTCTCTCTCTCGCCTTGAATTCGAAATTAATTAAACTGTAACTCATGCTGTTACACCTCAAAACCATTCTTATTGGTCTTAATCAAATTAAATTTATCAAATACATTTCCTCAATGCTAAAATAAAATTCCGGGATTTATTCTGATTCGTCGTACTGTGCGGTGTTATGTTAATCTAGGATTTTCCTATTATTTAACTGAAGAATAAAACAAGAATGTTGTTAGTCAAATGAATGCTAGTACATGAATAGATAGATTTATCATGTTTATTTTTGAATTTTTGAAGAATATTTCAAATTAGATAATCAATGGGAACCAATATTTTTTTTTTCTTCCTTTTCAGGAATGGATCCAAAAAATGAGAAGATTGTATTCAATATGATTGTAGATATGCTTTCTAACGATAATGATTTAGCAAAAACCCAATATTTTATGTAAGTTTCTTCAATATTATATACTAGAAGCATATCATCTTTGCTTAATAGCAAATATGAGTTGAAAATAGGAATGTTTTACATAGCCATGCATTGTATATGGCCATAATTAGTGTTGATAGCAAGCATAGCAGTTTTGAAAATAAATTTCTTAGTTTTATTTTTATGATTGTAAAATTTTCAGACTTACTCCTAAACTAGTACCTGATTTAAAATTTAACCAAAAAACGAAAATTCATTGCATTTATAGTGGAGGAAAGCTTGATAAACGTAAAGTAAGTTTATTATTAATTTTGTAATTTCATTCAAGTATTCCACTTTTTTTTTTTTTTTTTTAATAACTAATAAAATGTTTTCCATTTAGTGATTTCATTCAAGTATTCCACTTTTTTTTTTTTTTTTCTTTTTCTTGATAACTAATAAAATGTTCCATAAATGATAAAAATACAGGGATAGGAGGAAAAAAAAAATGTGTATATTTTAGAAATATTTTAAGGAAATAAATTTTATATCCACAAATAAATTTTATACTCACCGATAATTATTTTTGTATATGCTTGATATTTTTAAAAATAGATGAAAAATATTTCCACAAGATAAGACACCTTAAAACATTGCTGCTTATTATGTCAGGATGTTAATTGAGTTGTATGAACTGAAATATGAATAGCCTGCTTTACATTTTAAAATCGTTTTGTAACGTACACAGATTCGTACGAAAAAAAAAGTACAGATAAGATTTCTTAGGAGCAAAACGAAAGAATTAAAGTTTTGAGATTAATTCAAAAGGATGGTAAACGAAATTTGCTTTAAATATTAATTAGAGGATAATAGTTTAAACTGGAATGTTTTTAGTCTTTCAATTAAAATTGCAAATCAAAAATTTTCATATTTATCATTTTCATTGTAGAGCTGGAATGTTACGGATTTTCTTAAAACTATGAGCAATCAACAAATGGTTACAGAAATGGAAGCAGTACTGTAGTGATGTTACTACAGTATTTGTGTTCTTAGAAATTAAAATGATCTCATGTTTCACAATTTTGAATTTTGATTTCTAATTTTTTATGAAAAAATTTTCTTTATATATTTGTTTAATTTCATTGTAATTTTTAAATTAGCGCACTTTTTCCATTTTAATTTCTTACCCTGAACGTATCAAATTTGATAGTAGCGCGCTTTTTCTTTTTGTTTTTTTTTTTGTTAATAATTTGTGAATTTCATATAATTCATCTCTAGTTTTTTTAATTTATTCCTTATCCAATGAAAGATCTACTTTTTACGGGTCATTAATTTTCATCTTGATTCATGTATTTGTTTTCGTTGTGCCTTGCATTATCTTTATGGTCTCATTTTGTCGTTTTGTTTTGGAAAAAAAAAATGCTATTGATCAGTTAAGAATTTTTAATTGAAAGGAGAAGTATAGATTTTTTTTTTTAGATATAATTTTTTAGATATAATTCACTCTTAAAAATTTTATAGATATAATTTTTTTAAATTGCAAATTTTTGGAAGAACAGAACTGTTTAAAGAAGTAATTATTACTTATCGTCTTGAGACATAAATTCCCTTAAAGAGTTATTATATATTGTATTGCATTCATCTTGCAAGTGCAAAGTTATAAAATTTCATCAAATAAAATTTCCAAGCAAATTTTTAGTTTTCTTAATCACATCTGATAAGCATATTATTTTCTGAAAAGGATCAGTAATGTTAAGTTATCTTTTAAACTGTAATTCTCGATTAATTAACACTAATGATAACTGTTGCAGCAATACTTCTTTGTTATCTCTGGTAGTAGTTTTCATTTGAGAATTTCTCTTTTTTATCTTGAGATTACTTTTCAGACATAAGCTTAAATGATTTAATCCTTTTTCTTTTTTCTATTTTTTTTTTTGAAAATATATAAAATAAAAATTAATAATTCTGATTTACAGATGCGCATAATAATGTTAAACAGCAATAACTGATCATTTAAAAGCGAAATGGTTGCTGTATTCGTGGTAATACGAAATCATCTTTTTTCCTACTATTATGATTTACAGTAAAAAAATTTGCAGAAGTTTCTTTTGGATTAATCCCATTTAACGTACGTGGAAGTGATCGACCATATCGTGATTGAAGTTTTATCATCGATTCGGTTGGTTTTAAGCGTGTTTGAGGACGACTTGTTCGTTTTGTATGTATTCGTGATGGTAGCAAATAAATTTCAACACTGCAATATTTAATTTGAATTTGAATTTGTATGCTTATAAATACAATAAAACTAAATGATTTATTGTCGTGAAAGACGAAATATTTAAATTATTATATCCAAAACTAACAAATTCCTCTTATCTGATTCCTTTTCCTCACTCAACAAAAACCCTTTGTTAGCAAACCCTTTGTTAGCAAAACCCTTTATTAGCAGTCTTTGTTTCACATCAGTTAAATATCCTCTGCCGGATATCTGGTCAGCTCAGTTCTGCATATAAACCATCGTCCTCCATACGGTGGTTCATTCTGCATTTTGGGTTGGTTTTGATATCATTTTAATGTTTTATAATTATATCTTTCGTTACGCGTTTGTTAATCGGTGTAGCATCCGTACGATATGTATAAAGCGCTATTATTTGCTTCATGTTAAATAAAGGTTTTAATTACCCAAGTTTGAGGTTTCAGGACATTTATTATTGAGAAAAAAAAAAAAGAAAAAAGGAAATGAAAAACTTATTTCAGTTAAATAATCTTTAAATGAAGAAAATTTATTTGAAGTAATAAAAAGTAAGCAGTATTATATTAAGATGTTTTTTTTTTTTTCAGAGATTATATATTTAAGATGTGTTATATTTAGTATCGTATTTAAAGTATTATATTTAAGATGATTTTTTCAGAGAAGAATAAAAAAAAAAAAACATACTTTCGACAGTTTTCATGATTGATTTGAACACGTCGCAATCGTGCCGATCTTACACCATTACTTCTCAGAGATGAGTCACAATATTCAAGTAAATGATGCACTTGTTCTGAGAGATATAGGAAAAATGGAAATTTTAATTGAGCAATGTAATAAAATAGATAGAGAAAGCCATGAAATGATAAACCTAAAAAGTGTATCAATTGATAGTTTTGATATAATTATGAAAATTAATTATTGATTGTATATTATGCAAAATAATATTTTAAAAATGAACTATTAACTAGTTTTGGAGTTCGTTGAAACGTTGAAAATTAGGAATTGCGTGATTTTTGAGCAATAAATTTAAAATTTTACGTGGTTTAAATACTATATGATAATTACTTAGTCACAAATTATCATATTTTAGTACCAATATTACTATTAATTAAATAGTCTTCACGAATACTTCACAAATTCATTAGCAATATATTTGTTCTATATTATTGCTATTTGTTTGCCTTATCCAAAATTACGGAAAAGTGTAAAAAATTTATGAGAAACGAACCGGAAACATGTGGAATATATTCATTTATTGTAAAATATTTGTAAATTTCCATAAATTTTAATTCCATTTCCTTCACTGTTATTACATCTAGTAAACTGCATTTTCTGTAAAAATTTTCAAGAAAATTTTTAACTGAAAATTGCTACACTTACTTTAATTGTTAAATCTAAATTATACAATTTATTTATTTAATTTATCTCATAATGCACTTCCTGTATTAATTCTTTTTCTCCGAAAGATGTCAACTCTTTTTTTCTCGATATATGTTAATTATCTTTCCTTAGAATGACTCAACTCTTTGCTAATTAGGTCATTCCTCCTCAGTGAAATTGAATTGACATGTTTTCTATTTCATTTTCTGTATTTTCTCTTTTTCCATATAATTTTAAGCGATCATTAATTATCATAACGTAATAAATGGAAATTAGCTATCAGTATAAATACTCTGTGCTATTATAACAGAAATACGAATTCAAAATTAATATCAAATTCTAATAAGATTGTTTTTTTTTTTTTTTTTTAGAAAGTTTTTGAATTTTACCATTTAAACTTTATGTCCAATTTCTGATGATCATTTTCATTTGATGACACTTTTTAAGTAAATAATTGTGAAATAAATAAGCCAAATATATAATAGAAATATGATTCAAAATTAATTAATACCCCAAAAATATTTATAGGAATATTCGAGAACATAATGAGTAAAGAAGTGATAAAATGAGCAAACTCATCATTATCTTATACTATTCCTAATGTTATCCATAATGTGAACAAACTTTAAAAAAATTCGAGCACCAGAAATCATCAAAACCGTCGTCTGTTTTAAATTTACAAATTGCATAAATAAATATACAGCTTTGTCTAAAAATAGCAAATGTCCATTGCTTTGACCATAGCGACATGGGAAAATCTGGAACAAATTTAAAATGCTAAAAAATTTGCATATTTTAATAAAAATTATAGCAATAAATTTTTGCAAATATATTTTAACTGATAGAATTAGCTATTTTATACCTCTATTAGATGACATTTTCGTTTTGCTGCAAGTTCCATATCATCCATTATTGCTTTTCGAGATGAGTTATTATTTGAATTTGTTAAATTACTAAAATCAAATTTAACTTTTTCAAAAAAAAAGCAAAAAAAAAAAAATGAAAAAAAAAAAAGGAATGAAATTTCTGCAGAAATTATAAAAATTTTTGAATTGAGAATGCAAAAAGTCAATTTATATAAACTGTTTATATCTCTCATTTATTAGAAAAGAAAGAGAAAAAAAAAAAAAAAATTGAAAATTGCAAATTTTGATTCCATTATCAAAAATTTCACTTATCTTTATCAAAATAATTATTCATAAATACTAACGCTAACGAATGATTCGGATAAACATTGTCGATTAAATTGAGAACTAAAAGAATTGTATCTCTTACCAACGGAATTTTAATCACCTGCAATAATAATAATTGATAATTATTTGCTCATTGTGTTATCAGCGTTGTTATCACTTATTATTAACAAAAATATCATTATTTTAATACTCATGAAATTGATAATTATTTGCTCATTGTGTTATCAGCGTTGTTATCACTTATTATTAACAAAAAATATCATTATTTTAATACTCATGAAATAAATTATTATGATTATTTATTTGTTTTTTTTTTTTCAACTTACTGATAGTTCTATTGTAATTAATGAAAGCAGTGATAATTTTAAAGGTACCTAATAAAAAATCTTATCTGAAATTTATAATATTAGAAAATTTTGCCAAGCAGTTATGATCAGTTATCATTGATTACAAAAATTATCATTTATTCTTAATAATTTCAATCATTAATCATACAATATGGTAAAAATATTAAAATGTAAAAAATTTGAAATTTAATTCAAACAATTTTTTGTGAATTATTCAAATAAAACTTACTTCATCCACAACAGAACGTACCCGTAACGGACCAATATTTTCCTTATTATTATCAAATGGATTTAAAATATCATGTTCAATTGTTAAACTTGGTGCTGAATTTACTTCAAGCAATACTGGTATTAAGTTTTTTGTAATTAATATATCAAAACCTATTATCTGAAAGAAAAAAAAAAAAAAAAAAAAACAAATACGAGAGAAAGTTTTCATTGAATAATTGTTATTAATAATGCAAATATTAATTTTAAATTTTATACTTGATTAAATTAGTTAATCAAAGGTTAATAAAATAGAATAAAAAAATTTGTTAATTTTTTAACTGATTGCTATTTCAAAAAAAAAAAAAAAAAATATATACGATCAATTTTGAAACAATAATAATTATTCATTTCATTTGTCTTACAATAAATTAAACTGATAAAAAAATTAATATCCAACACATTTCCTCGTAAAATTGAATCACTAGAATGAATAAAATGGAATTAAATTAAATTGAATTGAATTACTAGCATTGACATAAGTTAGTTGAGAAAAATAATTAAATTATATATATACCTGAAAACATTCTGGACCTATTGTATCATAAAAATAATGTTCATAATTGAGAATGATTTCAGGTAG